TGAGTCTGGCTATTCCTCTTTATTTATCAGCAATCAAAATAACGGGTTGATCCTCTAGCATTTTCAAAGGTTTTTTTGAGTGTCATTGTGAATGTATAATGGTAAACATGGTTGATACATTTCCATCTATTGCAGTTCTTATTCTTGCTGAAATTGTCCCATCTTCAACCATTTAGAGCTTCTTTAGGTTGGCTCCTGAGTTCTTTTGACATGATCTTAGTAGTCTTTGAATGTTTTAGTGATTTCTGGTATAACGAGGTATTCCAAACTCATTTTGAACAATTCCTGCTCCAAACTGAGACACACCCATTTTTCGAAGGAGCTCTTAGGTATGGTACTTAGAGACCTCAATCAGAGCATCAGGAGTGGTCATTTCTGTGGTGTTACTAATTGTTTCTAGGCGTAGGCAAAATACATTGTGAGTTCATACTGACATTTCCGATTCAAGTTTAGAACTATGGGTTTTTTACTTTCCTTTATTGATTGTACTACTACTGTCTCTCCTTTCTCCATACCTGAAGTCCCAATTCTCAATAACAGCAACAAATTACTTATTTGCCTCACCCTGTTATACACAATAATATCAGAATACCAAACCAAGACACCCAGCAACAATATGATTCCTAAAAGCACTTTAAGATTTTTTTAAGTTCTTGTTTTCTTGTTTGTGATGTACTATTAAGAATATTCAGTGAAATTATACTTTTTTAAAAAAATCATATTTTAATAAATAAATAAAAACATGAGAGGACTGACTTATAAAAAATCATATTTTAAAGTCTCTCAAAATATTTCTTTTGTGTATGGTTATGCCAACAACATGATAGGTTCATCTCATTCATTTTGCTTTAGACTTTTAGTGTTAGCTTTCCAAATTTACTTTGGTATTAGTTTGTGTAGATATTATATAAAATATATACATGGTTTGAAAGTTAAATCCTTAAGACAGAGGACATTCAGGTGACTCTAGTCTATCCCTTTTCTCTCTACCTTATGTTCTCATTCTCTCTATAGTTATCATTTTTGTTTGTGGTCCATTGTTACATTTCAAAATACAAACAAATTATATATAATATTTATAGCTATATAATATATTTACAGAATAGGACATATTTAGCTGCTGCTTTTTAGATAACAAGAGTGTAACATACACATTTAACATATATTTCCTGGTGTGTATGTTTTACATACTTGACTATGTTTCCCAGAGACCCTTTCATAGAAAGATATGTAGATATTCTTCATTCGTTGTTTCAGCTGCCTAATACAGACTTGTGTGGAGGAATCACTGTTCACTTGATCAGTTCTCTATTGAAGGATTTTTTTTTCCTCTTCAGTTTGTTACTAGTACCAATAGTGCTGTAATAAAAAAGCCTTGTGCATATATGTCTTTTTATACTTTTTTTGGTCTTTTCACACCTTTGCCAGTCTATCTTTGGTGTAGATATTGAGAAGTAAAATTGCTGAGTTATAGAATAAATGCCTTTGCACTTTTAAAAGATAGATATTGCCAAGGTTCTTTCCTTAGACTTTGTACCAGTTTGCATTTGCACCAGGAATGTGTGAAAGTGCCTGTTTCCTCACAGTCTTGCCAGCAGAATATGCTGGCAAACTTTTACATTTTTCTAATCAGATAGGTGAGCAATGTTATCTCATGTATATTTCTCTTTTTGTCTTTTTTTTAGGAAATAACTTAAAACTTATGGAGTTGTTGCAAGAATAGTTCATATTACTTTTTTCCTAAACCATTCGAGAATAAGTTGCTGACATGTGGCTCCATAACCCCCATATGTTAGTGTGTATTTCTTTTTTTCCCCTTTAGTGTTGAAAATATTACAGATATCTCCCCTTTTTCCCCCCATTGATCCCCTCCACTCGCATCCACCCTCAAGTCTTCACCACATTATCGTCTGTGTCCATGGGTTATACATATATGCATATGTTCTTTGATGAATCTCTCCAACCCCCCTCCCCCACCCCTTCATTCCCCCTGAGTTCATCAGTCTGTTCCATGCTTCTATGTCTCTGGATCTATTTTGTTCCTCAGTCTATTTTGTTTATTAGATTCCACACATGAGTGAGATCATGTAAAACTGAATCAGGAAGAATCAGAAAACCTGAATAGGCTAATAACAACTGATGAAATCGAAGCAGTAATAAAAAAAAAAACCCCAGCGAACAAAAGCCCTTACCTGGACAGCTTCACAGGGGAACTCTTTAATTCTTTAAGTTGTAGGGTTAGATAGTTTANCCCCAGCGAACAAAAGCCCTTACTTGGACAGCTTCACAGGGGAACTCTTTAATTCTTTAAGTTGTAGGGTTAGATAGTTTACTAAAAATTTTTCTTGCTTTTTGAGGTAGACCTGTAGTGTTGTGAACTTCCCTCTTAGGCCTGCTTTCACTGTGTCCCATAGATTTTGGGTTGTTGTGTGTTCATTTTCATTTTCTCTAGGAAGTTTTTTATTTCTTTCTTGATGTCATTGGTAACCCATTCATTGTTTAATAACATGCTATTTAGCCTCCATGTGTTTGAATGTTTTTGAGTGTTTTTACTGTAGTTGATTTCTAATTTTATGCCAATGTGATCTGAGATGCTTGATATGATTTCAACCTACTTGGACTTGTAGAGACTGGTTTTGTGTCCTAACATGTGGTCTATCTTTGAGCATGACCCATGTGCACTTGAGAGGAATGTATATTCTGCTGCTTTGGGGTGAAATGTTCTATAAATATCAGTTAAACCCATCTGATCTAGTGTGCCATTTAGTCACTGTTTCTGTGTTGACTTTTTGTCTGGAAGATCTATCCGGTGAAGTCAGTCGGGTATTACAGTCCATGACTATGGCTGTATTGCTGTTGACCTCTCCTTTAAAGTCCTTAAGGTTATTATTGCTAGGTCCTTATTTATTGCCATTTTAATTCTTTATGCTTATGTTTCTCTTTCTATTTCTTATTATTATAGCAGTCCCTTTAACATTTCTTGCAATGCTGGTTTGGTGGTGATAAACTCCTTTAGCATTTTTTGTCTGGGAAGCTCACTATTTCACCATCTATTTTGAATGATAGCCTTGCTGGATAGAGTAGTCTTGGTTTCAGATCCTTGTTTTGCATTACCTTGGATACTTCATGTCATTCCCTTCTAGCCAGTAGAGTTTCTGATGAGAAGTCAGCCGACAGCCTTATGGGAGCTCCTTTGTAAGTAACAGATTGCTTTTCTCTTGCTGCCTTTAATATTCTCTCTTTGTTTTGAATTTTTGACATTTTAATTATGATATGTTTGGGTATGGGCTTCTTTGGGTTCTTCTTGTTGGGACTCTCTGTGCTTCCTGAACTTGTATGACATTTTCCTTCATCAGATTAGGGAAGTTTCCTGCCATTATTTCTTCAAACAGGTTCTCTAACCCTTGCTTACTTTTGACCTCCTCTGGCACTCCTATGGTTTGAATATTGTTACGTTTCATGTTGTCACAAAGCTCCCTTAGACAGTTCTCCTGTTTTTTAATTGTCTTTTTGGATCTCTGATTGAGTGATTTTTTTCTACCTGTCTTCTAATTCACTGATCTGATCCTCAGCTTCCTCTAATCTGCTGTTTATTCCTTCCAGTGTATTCTTTATTTCTGCTATGTCATTCTTCATTTCTGACTGGTTATTTTTCATAGTTTCCATATCTTTTTTCATGCTGTTGAGCATCCTTATAATCAGTATTCCGAACTCTATATCTGATAGATTGCTTATCTCCATTTCATTTAGCTCTTTTTCTGGAGACTTCTCTTGTTTTTTCTTTTGGGGCTTGTTTTTTTGTCTCCCCATTTTGGCTGCCTATTTGGGTTTGCTTTTATGTATTAGGTAAACCTGCTAGGACTTTCAGTCTTTTTGGAAGTTCTCTGGTGCAAGCCAATGCCAGATGCTGATTGTGACTGGCCTTGAGTACCCTGTTTGGAGTTATCAACAACCCATAGCTTGAGGTTCTCCGTTGGGGCTGGGTGCATTTGGACAAGACCAAGGTGCACACAAAAGCCTGCTTTTCCAAGGCCAAGGTCTAGAAGCAGATCAGGCAAAGACTCAAAGCACTCTGAGGCCTGCCTCTGCCTGCAGGCTGATTAATCTGATTCTCTTAATGAGCCTCAAGCTATAGAAACTCCACTGAGTAGGATGAGAGGTTTTCCATCAGGGTGGGACAATTGCTTTCCCCTCAGGCCAAAGCTGCTTGGAAGGTAAATGTCTGCCTCTGCAGTATGGGGGAGTGACTTGGCACAAGAATCCAGAGGGGTGTCCTCTGAGCTCTGTCTCCAGAGCCCACAGCCCTAGATTCTTCTCACATAGATCCAGTCCACTCTGCCCTCCCTCTGCTGGAGCCCAAGGTGAGTGGCTGCACATTAAATTTTGTGCATTGGCTCTTTAAGAGGGTTCCTGCATTTCCAGCCCTCTCTCCCCGGCAGACAGAAACCCAGCTGCTTTACACAGGCAGATGTTATGTGGGCACCTTTCTCAGTTCTGGTGCTCTGGGCTGGGAAGCCCAGCCTGGGATTTAGGCCCCAGAATCCTCAGTGGGAGCCCCCCCACAGCTGAGCTATCCCTCCAGGCCTTCAGCTGCTGCCTGTGGGAGCCCAGCTTGCCTTCTTGCGCCTCCATACTTCCTACCAGTCTCTATTTAGTCTCCATTTTAGGTCCTTGGTTATAAGGGTGCTCTCCAGCTCATCTTTAGTTGCAGTTGATTATTCAGGATGATTTTTCTATATTTTAGTCGTAATCCCAGTTTGGTCCTGGTAGAGTGTCAGCGTAGCTTCCACTCAGTCCACCCCATCTTTAATCTCCCAGTGTATGTTTCTTAAAGACAAGGACATTCTTCTATATAAATGACAGTACAAATATTAATATTAGGAAATGAATATTGATATATTAATGCCAACTAATGCTCAGAACTATTCCAATTGTACCAATGGTCTCAATCATGTTCTTTATAGGAAAGGACTCAGGATTACACAGTAGTGTTATTTGCAATGTCTCTTTAATCTTCTTCAATCTTTCCTTGACTTTTATTACCTTGACTCTTTGATCTGGTTATTTCATAGAATGTCCTTCAACTTGGATTTGTTTGATGTTCTCTCATAGTTAAATTCAGATTATGGATTTTTTAGCTGGAATATCACAGAAGTAACGTTGAGTTCTCACTGCTTCCTCTCATGTGGTACATATTTTAAATTTGTCCTATTAGTAGTGATATTTACTTAGATTACTTAATTAAATGGTGTCTGCCAGGTTTCTCTATTGTAAATTTACTTTTTCTCTTTGTAATTAGTAATTATTTTGGTAAGAGATACTTTGAGACTATATAAGTAAATCATCCTCATCAAATTTTTACCCACTAGTTTTATTATACATTGGTGTTTCTTGGCTAGATTAATTATTACTTTGATAGTTGTTAAATGGTGATTTTATAATTTTATCTTTCATTCTGTATTAATGGATTGCCATTTACATCTATATTACTTCTCTATCTGTTGAAAATCATCAGTTTATACTTTTGTCTTCGATTCTATGGAGACCACAGAGTTCATTCTAATTTTATTTTGGTTTGTATTTGTAACTTCCTTGCTTCATTGAGAAACCTGGCTCTCACAAGCCCCTTTATATCTAATTACTGTATCAGTCTCACCTGGATGTAATGCATCATCCATCACTGCTGATGTCCCCTCCCCTACTCCCATGCTCCAACTCCAACATCCGGCACCAAGCCACTGCCACTCTGGAGGTCCTTTTCTCCCTCCCTGGCCTCTGACACCCTGAACCAGGCCATCCTTTTCAGGTTCCAACACCCACAGCAGGCTTCCACCCTCATCCCCACCTCACCTAGTCCCCTGCATGGATGTCTATCTTGTTTAACCCCTTTTAGCTTTGGAGGGCAGGAAATAAGGAAGGAATAAAGAAGGAAGGTAGGAAAGCAGGAAGGAAAGATGGAAGTAATTTTCATTTCTCTGATTATGAGTAAAAACATCTTTTCAAATGTTTAACATGCCCCTTGCAATTTGTGTGTGTGTGTATGTGAACTGTCTGTTAACATCTCATCAATTTTGCTATACAGTCATTTGCTATGCATCTCTTCTTTTAGGAACCGTATATGTTAGGAACATTAGTCTTTTGTCTATACTTTAAGTTCTTTCTGAATTTGTAATTAGTGTTTTTTTGCTTACTTATTTATTTTTTGCCTCACAAAGGTTTCTTATTTTATGTAATTTGAATTTATTGCTTTTTTTCTTATTGTTTCTGGATTTTGAATCAATGTTGAGGAATAACTTCCTTTTTTTAAGTGTCCTGTTTGCTTTTTTCATTGATTTCTAATTTAGGTAGACAGTGGACTGTGTTTTTGTGGGAAAAATAACTGACTTGACTCTGTCTTCTTACACTTTCAGCTGGAGTCCAAGAGCTGGAATCACGCTTCCTGGTCCCAGGAGATCTATTAATTTTGACAGGGAACAAAATGCAAATGCCCTGTGATGCCATTCTGATTGATGGCAGCTGTGTGGTGAATGAAGGCATGCTGACAGGTGTGGTTCTATCTCACTTCTTCAGCCTCCCCAGTGCTCCCAGGCTCCTCCTCTTCCTGAATGACAAACGCTAAGTGTGGGGCTGCTGTGGGCCCTTCCTATCCCCACAAATCTCATTAACAGTTCTGCCCTGGATATAGCTGAGAGTTCAGTGCAAAGCTGCTTTCTGTGTACTAAGTTTGATACAGTCATCACTTTTTGAGTCTTTAGCATTTCCTTCTTGAACCAAGGGTTGTTACAACCCTGTCATTTTACCTTAAAAGGCTATAGAGATCATTAGATGTTTCAGAATTATGTTATTTTTATGTTTACTATTTTTATATAAAATTTGTCTTCAGGTAACTTGGAGGGTTTAAAAACATTTAAGAACACCTTGAAATCCACAGAGTTAAAAAATCCAAGCTCTTCCTTGCTTGGCTTGAAAATGTCGAAAAAGTTGATGATGCAAGATTTGGCAAATCTGGGTATTTTGCGCTAACTGTAGTTCATTTATAAATAGCATGCTGGGCGGGGAGGACACTTAGGAGTCATTGCATCTTGTTGATATGAAAACTGAGGTCCAGAGAGGAGAAATAACTTGCTTAAGGTCACAGTGCTTTGCTACGCTCTACGTGATTATTTCCAGCCGATTTCAGCATCGATGTTTGATTTGATAATACTCGTAGTATTTATAATATGGCATTATATTTATTTGTTTACATGTCTGTGTTCCTCTCTGGACTACAGACCTCTTAGAAACAAGCACTATGTTTCTCCTTGTATTTCCAATGTCTAGGGTTGTTCTTGCCACATGGCAGGCTTGCAACAAACATCTACTATAGGATGCATGCGTGATTTAAATGAGCTAAGGCACCTCGCCTCACAAATGAATTGCTTGTTTTCTGTAGGAGAAAGCATTCCAGTCACTAAAACTCCATTACCCGAGACGGATAGCTCTGCGCCCTGGAGAACACAGAGCGATGTGGATTACAAGCGGCATGTCCTCTTTTGTGGAACAGAGGTGATCCAGGCCAAGGGGGCTTGCTCCGGGCCTGCGAGAGCAGTGGTACTGCAGACTGGTTAGTTAGCATCTCTTCCTTCCAGTTTGTTATTTTAATAAAATATTTTCGTTCAGTTTGTCTAGTGTATTAAATTTATTAGGTAAGGAGCAATCTTTAGATAACAAACCAAATATATTAAATTTATATATTTTAAGTGTGAATTGAACTATGGTATATGCCTTTAAAAAATAGTAATACTGACTACAATATTACTATTTATGTGCTTTGTAGTTTATAAACTATTTGCACATATCATACTTGCAGAACAAAGATGCCTACCGTCACTCCTCTGTACATGAGTCATCTCAGGCCCAGACAATTTAGGTGAACTTAAACCATATAGCCAGGAACTGGCAGAGCTGGACATAGAACTCAGGTCTTCTAACCTCAAATCCCAAGTTCTTTCTAGGTAGGACTAGCAACTGAAAACTTGACATTGAGAAGTATTAGAAATTGAGTCCATCAGTATTTACTAGGCCATTTAGTTTAAATTCAAGTGACTTCTGTGTGTGTGTGTGCGTGTGTGCGCATGCATACTCATGAGTCAGTTCCTTAAAAGGAAGTTATATTTGGAAAAACTGTGCTCTGCTCCCAGTATAGTGCTTTCTTATCTCTGGGATGCATTGAAATTGAAGGAAGGAAGGAAGGCCAGAGTGATAGGCTCTGAAATAGATATTTCCATTCTAGCACTGAGATATTTTCCCAATTATCCTTTACTTGTATTTGGGTTTAAACACCGTTTAAAATCTCTAGAGAAAATAAAGCAATGTTGAGGTTTAGAAGAGCACCAGCAGTAGGATTTGTCATCCTGAGAGGGTGAGGTGTGTGTTTACCATTTCAGGATTCAACACTGCAAAGGGGGACCTTGTGAGATCCATCTTGTATCCCAAGCCCATAAACTTTAAGCTCTACAGGGATGCCATCAGGTTCCTCCTGTGCCTCATAGGGACTGCCACCATTGGGATGATCTATACTTTGTGTGTCTACGTACTCAGTGGGGTAAGCTGCTTTTGTTTTTGTACAACATGAGGATATACACTTAGCCATGTCTGTTTTATACTCTACATGTTGACCTTAATCTATGGTGTGGTTTATAAACCTGGGAAACAAAGCCAAACACCAAAACTGGCCTATAGACTCCCAGCTCTCCAATATAAGCAATTGATCACCAAGGTCCATAATAACAATTAGATTGATAAAACATTTTGTTTATTGAGATATCAACATACTTCTACTCTTGCACACTATTTCCTTACACTATTTTCAATCTGAGAATATATTTATTCCAGTAATATAGTATTTTGTAGCTATGAAATGAGGAATTTTAATTAAAACCCAGATGCTCAGTGTTGGTGAGGGTATATGGCCAATTGGTCCATGGTTCTCTGCTGGTAGCATATGAATCGTTACAAACTTTTTCTTTGCACTTTGGCAAAATGTTTTGAGAGCCAGAACATGTTCATACCCTTTGACCCTGGTTTGAACTGCTTCATATTATTTCTAGAAATTTGACCTAAAGAAGTAAACAAAAAGAAGGAAAAAATCATATTCATAAAGCTGTTCATGCCCCATTTATCTGTAATAGTGAAAGAGTGACTTGTCTTCCAGGAAGCTCCCGGGGAGGTGGCAAAGAAAGCCCTGGATGTCATCACAATTGCAGTTCCTCCTGCTCTGCCTGCCGCCCTGACCACAGGCATTATCTATGCCCAGAGGAGGCTGAAGAAGAGAGGCATCTTTTGCATCAGCCCCCAGAGAATCAATGTCTGTGGGCAATTAAACCTTGTCTGCTTTGACAAGGTATGTGTATTTCGTCCTCACTGTCACTCCCATTTTTGTTATTCTGTGTTGGTGCTTTACAGCCCCATGAGGCAGGAAACATAGGATGTGGGTATCTGGCTTCACTTTATCCTGGTTGGCTGTGTGACCTAGGAAAGATGTCTCTTGAGCTCTCAGATTCTAGGGTTTGGAGAAGGAACAGTAGGCACTGCATTAGTGAATATTTTAAGATCCTTCTAGCTCCAACAGTCGATGAAACACAATTAACTAAAATAGCATTCTGTCTATCACCAAAACCCTCAGAGAACAAAATTTAAACCTTTTACTATGGTTACTACTGTATCCCTAATGTTAAGAATATTGCCTGGTATAGTCAGTGCTCAATAAATACTTTTGAATGAATGAATGAATGAATGGAAAAAGGGAGACTTTATTTAGCTGTGCTTTACTGTGAAACTTGGTTACAATAAAGCCCCCATCAGACCCTTACTATCTTTTCGCATCTGCAATATATTGCTTAAAGTCATCCTTGATGATATGGCAGTTACTCCCAGCCAGCCTCTATTCCACCTTCTCTTGAAGGTGTTCTTCTAGTCTATATACACATATGCTGGGGTGAAGGTGGGAGCAGTGAGAGGATAAGAGGGAAATGACGGGAGGTTTTGTGTCTGAGTCTTAATTTATAAAGGTGACTGAGTAGTGACAGGGAAAGGTCAATGTTACTCACAGTCCCCCTGGAAAGGTGAGGCATAGCTCACCATGCAGGCCCACAGGAAGAAAGCCAGGCTTTGATTAGGAAGCAAAGCAGGAGGGAGGGAACTGCTTAGGCCATGGCCTTTACTGGGATTTCTGCAGGAAACGCAAGACAAGGCAGGGTAAACAACTGATGATTGGCTTGTTCGAATGATTTTGGAGAGCTTTGGGCTGTAGGGATGGTCCCTACTTGTCTGGTACCTGGCCCTGGGATGCTTAAGGAAGAGGAATATTATCTCTTGGGGAATGTGACTGATACAGGAGGTTTGGCTAGTTTGCATATCAAAGACATGCTCCTGCCTGAGTCCCTTGCCATCTCTAAGAATCTCCAGCCCCAGAGAGGGGGTCTCTCTCCAGTTAGGAAGATTTTTTAAGATGTCAAAACACTATAAAAACATTAAAAAATATATACAATACAAAGGCATTGGAAGCAGTTGAATATGGGCAAAGGCATAGAGTCAGGAGAGCAATAAAGTGTGATTTTGACAAGAGCAGGACATTAGTAATGGGAAAGGGTGTTTATAGACCTTGAATGTCTGGCTAAGAAATTTTTACATACTCTTTAGGCAGTGGGAAACCATTGAAGGTTTTTATTTTTTATTGTTCCCTTTCCTTTTCTTGACATTTTTTATTGTGGCAAAATATACATAACATAAAATTTACCATTTTAACCTTTTTAAGTGGCTTTAGGTGCATTCAAATTGTGCGACCACCACCATCCCCCATCTCCATAATTTCATTCACCTTCCCAAACATAAAATCTGTACCCATCAAACAGTATATTGAAGATTTTTGATTGCACAGAATTAATGAGATCAGAGCTGTGTTATCTAATTGTCTGACTGTTGAGCAATCTACCAAGGACAGAAGGTTAATATGGCTCTTGCCACCATTTCAGTATTATTTTGTGATCAAACTAGCATCATAAGGAAAGATGTTTTATTTATGAAATCATATTATCCTTAGCCTTGGAAAAAGAAATGGGGTGGGAGAGATAATTGTGACAAGAATTTGAATATAAAATAAATAATAATTATGAGTAATTTTAATTATTATCAGCTCTTACTCTATGCCAGACGTTAAATTAAGCACTTTATTGTATTATCTCATTTAATCTTCACAATGACCCTATATGATTATAACCATATTATAGGTAAGGGCTCTGATGTTTAGAGAAATTCAGCAATTTGCTGAGACCACACAGCTGGTATTTTAACCGAGATAAATCTTCATCGTTACACTGCATGTAGAAAAATACCAACAAGCACCTTTTAACCAAATATATGTCAAACAGCAAACCATTTCTTTAGAACAATAAAAAAATTCTTCTAGTCCCATTACTTATTTCTGATGACAAACTTTTAACTTCTGCTATAAAAATTGGGATTCATCCATTTTATAGCTCTTATAAGCTTATCAAGAACTTTCCCATCCATTTAGTATGCCCTAAGAACCTCAAAACAAGCCTCTGAAATATGTAAGGCAGAAACGGGGTTCTTCTTTTTATTGCTAAGAACATTAAAGTATAAAGTGATTAAGTGCCAGCTTGTCATAAACTGCTGTGAGCTCATCAAAGCTTCCCCCAGGAGTCCAGATACCCACCTTACTGTACTGTTCTTGCTTGAAGTGCTGATCTCTATAAAATTTTATGGCGTATATTTTTCAATTAAAACATACCTTATTAGTCTTTCCAAAGGGGAACTAGATCTTCAGAGTAAACTGAGTGCTCGTTTCTGTTTAGACAGGCACCTTAACAAGGGAGGGCTTGGATCTCTGGGGAGTCGTGCCCTGCGATAAGAATGGGTGAGTACTGTCGACGTAAAAACATCCAAACTTGTAGAGAAGTTTTATGAGTTTATTTGAGCCAAAGCTGACAACTGCTGAGAAGCAAGATCTCTAACGCTCCGGAGAGTGACAGTTTGTAGTTTCTTTTATGTGTTTGAAATTAAGGAGGGAACATAGGAAGACTACATGGAGGTGGGGAAAGCAAGGCAGGGATTGGTACAGGATAGTTCACAAGATTTTGTGTTTTTTTGAGGGTGGTTACTTCAAAGGCTTCTTACAAAGGTGCATTAACTGGATGCACAGAAACAATGGATAATGGCTTGCTTAAGGCAAAGATAAACCTTTTACTAAAGAAGTTGCAGGTCTGGGGCCTGACTATCCACCATGACCTGCCCAGTTAGGAATTTATGACCAGATCACCTGTGGGTTACCTTTCCTAGAACCCCTTTATTGTCCACAGTACCCTGGACTCAATGCACTGTAGCTTCTCTACTCCCAGAACTCTGTGTTTTCATATGAAAACTAATAATAGAGACATTTCAGCTTTGGCTTTGGTGAGCAGTGGAGCCAGCATAGCTTCATGTAATTTTGCCTCTTAAATACATCCACTAATACTTTGCACTAAAACATGTTTTGCCCCATCACACCCCCCCGCAGCCCCTGCCACACGCCACACGCAAACCCAGGAGATGAAGGAGTTTTGACCCTGCGTTCAAATCCTTGCTAAAATATAATTTGCAGGCAGCATGCTAGTCAGGGGCCCGAGGTTGGCCCAGCGAACCTAACTGGGACAATTCTAGGGCACTGTTCTTCAGGGAGGCCGCGGTCCTCGAACAAACTGAAGCCTTCATTGTGCTAGAGGGAAGGCCACCGCGCTCACTGTGTGTACCGAGCGTCAGTGTCGCCGAGAGGCACGCCCGCGGGGCTGCAGCCAGTGTGCCCATTTCCTCGGCAGTCCGGTTGGGAGAAGCCCGCATTTTGCCTGCGGGCTCCCCCTTGGCAGCTCTCAGCTCGCCCTGAAGGTCCGCGGGTCTCCCCGAGGCCCTCTGGCGGCCGCGCCTGGCTTCAGCCTCTGCCTGCTTTTCCCTCCACTGCCACCTCCAGCGTGATGGCAACAGGAAACATTTGGCATTAACCTTTTGCTTTTTTTGATGAAGGTACTTCTTACTTACAAAGCATTTTATTCATAAAAGGCCCATAGCAGTTGTTCTGCATCATGCAGACAACAATTTATCCACAAAATATTCCAATCACAAGTGTCTAATACATTTTCACATTAAAACAAGAATATAAAATATTTATAAACAATTCTATTTCCTGGGTTAAAGAAGTTAATCTGGGTACTTCTAACCGCTTTTGTCTACAGAAGAAGCCTTTTATAAGTATAAACTTTCTTAAGTTCCTTTTATTTTCCCTTGAAGATAGATTTGGGTATATACCTGGTCTCCTTGTTCATTAATATTTTTCTGTTTCGGCTTCTACAAAAACTGTATGCATTTATTAAAATATATGTGCGTCTTGAGAGCAGTCTATTTCTTATTTACATTCGTGTCCCCAGTGCCGTATCACTCTACCGGGCACACAGAGTAGACAGATGCACGGTGGGTTTGCTTACCTAAAATGAACTAAATGTGTCCCATCCTTTGAGTGCAGTTCTACTTGCTGACTTGACATCAAACTTATTTATCAAACTTTTTATTTCTAAATGTAATTTGTCAAATTTAAATAAAAATAATTGATATAATATTTAGGCCATTGATTAACAGGCCCATTACTCTTTATTCCTGCCTTCCTTCAAAAGGGTGAAAGTTGGCTTCAAATGACTAAAAGAACAATTTAAAATGTTAAAAATATTGCCAAATTTAATTCATAACATGAAAGAAAACAGATGGAGTTCTAGGTAAGAAGTAAGCACCTGAGATTTGGCTATTAAATATCTTCTTATAAAAGGTGAGCTCTAGTAATTCTTATCTTTTCCAGAAAGGGCTTGCCCAGTGTGCCAGATACTTACAGAACCATTGGCACGCTACCTGGGCCACCTGAACCTGATAAATGACAGGCATTCAAATAAAAGTACAAGGCCAGGGATGGCAGAGAGTTTCTTTGTTGCGTAAACCAGAGTCTGACCCAATCTCAGGAATTCAGAATTACATACTGATGACACTGTGTGCCGTCTTAAAAATAAGATTCCTTTTTCCATGATCAACGTTTCTTTTCGGTGTGAGCTTAAGCTTCCACATTAATCACAGTGCCAGTGGTTTCTTCCTTTTACATGTTTACTAAAATACCCGGGGCTGTTGTAAACCACTAAGATAACTTGATTCTTTCATATATAATAATAGATAGGATCAATAGGGTCGGTAATCAGCCTGGAGCTTTTGAACTCTTAGAGAAGCTTGAATGAAGAAGCCAGGAAGAAATACGGCTGGATTAGGAGTTAACACTGTGACGTGGAGGCTTGCTTCTGAGAACAAAAGGCTAGAGCAACCCAAGGTAGTATTTAAAGAAACACAGTGTCCATATCACGAGAAATAATAGTCTGATCCTCAAGACCACATTTTAAGGCAAACTATGACAAATAACAACTTTTTCAAGAAACTAACCAGAAAGGTGAATGGTCTGCAAACTGCATATTGAAGGCACAGCTAGAGGTCCTTGTGTAACCCCAGAGGAAGGGAGGGGAAGAGAGGGTATAGCCCAGCCGGTCCACAAAAGTTGACACATGGAGGAGGGAGAACAAGTAGATTCTGACTGGCTCCAAGGAACACGTTTTGCCTCAATGTTCAGGGAGCACCTTCTGCCATCAGAAGTCCTCCTAGGAAGAGCTGCTCTCTGGGCCATCTACTGTGCTTCACAGTTAAGAAGGGACTGACAACAGCTTGCAGAGGACAGACCTCTAATGAGCCAGAGGCTGAACTTGAGGACGTGAAAGCACATTGCATGTGACATTGGAGTTGTATCTCAGTAGGTTTTAGGTGAAGACACTTTCTGTAGGAAGTGATGGTAGTGATGACTGCAATATGATGCACTCGATGCCAGGGTGGAAGAGGGGAATGCAGTGTCCCTGTAAAAAATGTTTTTTAAGGTATATTTCTTTACAGTTATGCTCCTTCAGGTTTTCAGTACCTACTCATTCATTTATTCACTCATACATTTTTGACTGTCTCATGTTGGGCAAACATCAAATATGTTGGAGAAATACAGAGGACATAGTGCTGCCCTGAAGGATTAATGAGGGAGATACAGCTGTACACAGATAGCCATAGCGTGAGTGAGGCTGCTGTGTCTCACAGCGTTGGAAATGAAGTGGTCATAACTGGAGTGGGAGTAGATGTGCTTAGAATTAAAGGTGATTCTTCTAGCTCCTTCCATACCTCTGGAATTAAATCCATGCCAGAGAAGGAGTCAAGAAAAGAGGAAAGAAAGAGCTTGAAAGAACCTCAAAGACCTTGCTCATCTCACGGAACTCATGTAAGGATGATAGCTGAATGAAGCACTAATCATTTGGGGGGACCGGAGAGTGGGCATGTAATATAACAAAGCATATAAAATTTCTTTGAAAAAAGTCACCTCTGGAAGCTCCATTTTGGATGGAGAATTGTACTGAAGCCCTTTCCCCTTTCTACTTTAGCTTCCAGGAAGTGCACAGCTTTGCCTCGGGCAGGGCCTTGCCCTGGGGCCCACTGTGTGCCGCTATGGCCAGCTGTCACTCTCTGATCCTTCTCGATGAGACCATCCAGGGAGACCCTCTGGACATCAAAATGTTTGAAGCCACCAACTGGGTAAGCCTCTGATCTGCAGAGAATCTAAAAAGCTTCTTCAGTGCCAGAACCACACAAGTTTTATCACAGATAGTCAATACATATAAAATGTGAGGTCTCCAATATGGAGTACATAAGTAGTGAGTGGCACGCCAGTGTGTGCCTGGTTCCTCCTCGTACATTGTATCTCCATGGTAGGGTTATTGTGATGAAATGGAATGAATGAAGCCCTTAAAAAATTCCTGGCAGCTATTACAGGCTCAATTATGTTAATGTAGTTATAATTATTATATCATTATTTTCCAAATTTTCAGATTGTAGTATGAGCAATGTTTGGTTTCAAAGTTTTCTAGAACATGGAGATTAGGAAACATGCTCCCCCATGCTTAGGATAACTTGTTGTTACCGTGAGTTTTATTCCTATTAAAATTGCATCAATTTTGTTTCCAAGGCTGGAAACACAAAAAGGGAAACATGAGAGCTTTTGTTGAGACTTTAAAGTAGATTTAGGAGCAAGGGGTGCTGTTCAGAAAGAGGAATCTCGCTCTCTCGGTTCTAGTTTTGGCTCTGCTCTAGCTGAGCACTTGACCCTGCGAAGGCATCTCTCTTGTTGGCGCTTGGTTCACATGACCTTAAAATGAGGGGATGGAAGTAGACCAGCAATGTTCACATAAAATGAAACAAAAACGCTGGAATATTCTCTTAAAAGGAAACCTTATTCAGAAGCACCTTATAATAAACAAATAGAGTTGCTGTAGTTGACATGGGGAGTAAAGGTAAAGCTTAGGGAACACACATCCCTACCTACTCAGCCCCAAGCCCACCTCCATCCCTTGCAGCCAGGTGCAGCTCTGGGCTCCATTGCTATGTGTGTGAGCCCCTCTGAAGAAGATGACCCTTAGGGTTCCTTCCAACTCTAGTAGGATGTGGTTCTGTAATCATGTCTCACATGACTTTGCTGATCTTTTACCCTTCCTGGGTTACTGTTTGTGCATTTTAAAGTAGGAATTACAATTTCCAATCTGAGATTTTTTTCAGCCACTCAATGCAATGGTTACAAAGCATTTTGACATCTTTGATGAAAGGTTCATTTGACTATAATTTAGGGTCATCATTAGAGCAATTACTGAGTGTTTACTGAGCATTAACCATGTACATCACAGTCCCTGCCTTGCTGAACCCTGAGGACCATCAATTCAAATTAGACTGAGAGGGAAGAGCAGGAACAGCTATGAACTCCAGGGAAAGAAAGACAGCAAGGTGCTTGCCTCACACACAATAAGTCTGGTTATTCATGCTCACTATTTTCGTGTGAAGCTCTTCAGAAATAGAGACTGAGCTCTTTATGCAGTGCATTCCAACAGAGAAGGCAGGATAAATTGCATGAATAATTCAGACACGTCTGCCCTTGAAGTTCTGCAGCATTTTCAATGCATTATTTTTTTCTGTGGCAAAATAAGACTGGTTCACCTCCATCTAGCCAAGGGAAGGAAGTGAGAATCATTGAGGTGGTCTGAGAATTTTCTCAAGGGGCGGGTATCAGTGGATGAACAAGAAATAAATTTCTACAACAAAAATATTCCATTTGTGAAATAGGAAATGGCTATTTCTGGGGACAATTTCCACATCAAGGGAGTGCCAGCACACGCCATGGTAGTTAAGCCCTGCAAAACAGCCAGCCAGGTAAGCCTTGTCTGCTATCCATTCTGCAACACCCAACCTCAAGGGGAAAGTTCCATCAGGCCCACATGAGAAAATTGGTGGGAACATTTCCCTTATTTGATAAAAAACAGGATTGAGGGAGGAATAGTTTTTAATTTTCAATAGGTGGAAGCTATGTTGGCATGTCCCTCTCCATTCCCCATCCCTCAACCAGGTCCCAGTGGAAGGAATTGCAGTCCTGCATCAGTTCCCATTCTCATCAGCACTGCAGAGGATGACAGTCATTGTCCAAGAGATGGGGGGTGACAGGCTGGCATTCATGAAAGGTGCACCAGAGAAGGTGGCCAGCTTTTGCCAACCTGAGACAGGTAAGTGAACAGACTAATTCTGCTGGCTAATTTGTATTTCTAGCCCCAATATGTCCCCTTAGCACTTGATCTATGAATCAAAATACCTATTGATCATTGCCAATAGGATGATTCATTTATATCTCAAACTCAATACCAAATCAAGATTCTCTTTCTCACTTCCCATAGTTCCCATCTTGATGAAAGATACTACCATTCTCCCCCTCTCCCCAATTTAAGGTTCTTTCCAGATTTGTCCCTCTCCCTCTGTGCCTCTGTCCTGAAATCCATGGCCCTATCACTCCATCAGCCCAGGTCCTCATCTTCCCTCTGCTGGATCACTGCAATAGCTGGTGAATTGACCCCCTGCTCCCAGTTATCCCTACCCTGATTCACCCTCTATACCCTGACTAGATTAGTTTTTCCATCACCTACTATAACTATGCTGTCACTTTCCACTTTTCTTCTTTTGGTTGCTTCCCATAGGCTCCAGGAAAATCTCAAACTCCTTCATGATCTGACTTTACAGATACTCCTTACCTATCCCATCCTCCCATTCTGTGCTTTCCCAGAGCTGAACTACCTACTCATGGCTGAACGCCTCATGTGTTCGTGCCTGAGCACATGGTGCTCCCTCGGCCAAAATGCTCTTTCCCTTCCTTCATCTAACCACTTCCTCTCAGACAGGCATATGTTTGTCTAAGTGCTCCCATAGCCTAGCACACTGCCATTGCCTCGGTCACAGCAATGATCTCATCCGATCGCATTTGTTAGTCTACTGTCTGTTACCCTACTAGACAGAGATCCTGAGAGTGGGTCCTGCAGTATAATCTCTGCAGAGCCAATGCCCGCACATAGTAGATTGTCAGTAAGTGTTTGTTGGTTAAACTGGAGAAAAAAGAATTATACACTTTCCCATTCTTTTACCTTTATTTTGTTTTTGAAATGCTTCCTTCTCATTTCAGCTTCACTGAAAACCAAGAAATCAGTCCTGACAATGTAGTTGTATTGAGGGTGGGTATCCACTGACTTGTCATATACCTTTTTAGAGATGTGGTTCTTTTTTTTTGGTCAAGAATTGGGTCTGTTTGTAAAGAATTTCTTCACCAGTACCAACTGAGGAGTAAATATTGCCTACTAATCTTGTGTTATTTTCTGAACAGTACCAACTAGTTTTGCTAGTGAACTTCAGATTTACACGACACAGGGATTCCGGGTCATAGCACTGGCCTACAAAAAGCTAGAAATGGACCACCACACCACTGCCTTGACAAGGTGAGTGGAGAGATTTTCAAAAAGCAAGATGATTGGGTGGGAAGATGTGCTGGGCTGGGCAGGGGACTCAGCAACATAGCGAGCGTGCTGGATCCACATGGATGAAATGCCCCTGAAGTTAGTCCACAGGGATACAGTCATCCCCATCTTGCCTGATCACAAAGCTGATGTGAACCCTGGCTGGGAGCATTTAAGAGAAATAGCTGCATACACTGTGACATAAGATGTGATTGTACAGCTGTGTGAAAACAGATATTTGACTATACACGATGTTTCATAGTGTGAAATTATGGTCATGCCCCCATTTTGAACCAAATACAAGTAGCTAATTTTTAAAATTATAGTTGGTGAATTAGTTGAAAGTTAGAAAACAACATTTGTCTGAAAAAATTCTTCATAAGGCATATACAACTTAATGAAAAAATATAGCTCGGACTTACATAAACCAAGTAATGTTTGTAGAAAAACAAGAAAAGCTTCAGAGTGGCCATTGTAGAGAAAGTTTTGATATGATTAGATTAAAATAGGAATCCTCCAAAGCTAAAATGGACTATTAGTTCAATTTTATTTGTTGTTTTATCTTCTGCTGTTTTTAGGCTATCATGTTTATTTCACCTTCAATGCTATGTCCAGTACTTCATTCCAGCCATTATTGGTAACATTGCTCTGGAGATAATCACGGCTTATTTTGTTATTTAGGGTTTTAAATTTAGGAGGGCTAATGTATTTATGTTCAACCCTGTCAGACTCAACAACACTCTCTTATTGTAACTATATTTTGTACCACTTCTTTTTATATACTAAAATAAATTATATGTATATAATCTGCACACATTCTTTGTAAAAATAAATGATGCCATTCTATATACATTTAAAATAAAAGCAGAAAATACAATGTACTACAAAAGTAATAGATAATTCCATAAATGCTTAGCAGGCTCCACTAAAACTAAATGAAGCAATACGTTGCTTGCACCTGTGTGTAAAATCATTAGGGCTGAAACAGCTGGGAATGCAGACTGATGCAGGTGTTATACACTGAAGTCTCAAATAGCATGAGCAGCCTTGCTGTCAGTGAGGTGACTGTGAAATGGTTTAAAACTCTTGGTAAAACTTCATAAAACAGCGTAGTCTCCTTTCAACTTACACAGTACTTACATTCCTGGAAAATTCAATAGAATATTAAAAATGTGCACAAATACTTTGTGTTTATATGTAAAACAGAGCTAGGGGAAGTATAAACAATTTTATATTTGTTTAACATACTATAGTTGTATTATATATACTATGATATAGTATGCTATGTAGTATAATAAAAAAAGTATAAGCCTATACTTTCTTAGGAAAATATAAATAATGTTTTAGTGTCTATGCATGTCCTGTAGAATATTCAAAGGGCATGTGGAGTGCAAGGCAATTCTTCACTGTGCATTGGTCATTGCAGAAAATCTTGCATAGATAGATGTCTAAAAAGTTTCCAAAATGTCCTCTAGAGGCAGTATCACCCCTGCTGAGAATCACAGATGTGTCCCAACCCTGTCACTTTGTGAATGGGCAGAAAGACCTAGAGGCAGAAGTGGCTCATCTAAAGTCATCGAGTATTGGATTGCTGGGCATATTGGGTCACTCTCCCTGGGGCCAGCTTAATGTGACCCTTAAGGGTCACTTTGGCTGTTGCAGCTCTGTGTATTTGTTGCAATTTAATCAACTCAGGTCACTCATTTGCCCCTCCTATGTTAAAGCCACATCAGCATTATATTTATTCCTAGCTAAATTAATTTACCCAACCTTTGCTAATCCCTGATTAGCATAGAACATTCTTTCTGTTGTGATTGTGCTTATATTTATGTGTTTACTCAGAGTGCTTCCAGCACAGATATCATAATTTCTTTGAGGGTTCTTGGCCCACTTTATGCATATTGCATCCTTTATAAGTCACATGGATTATAAGGGCATGGAGTATGGTCACAAGGGTGACAATGCTCCTTTTGTATTACAGTCATTCCTTATTATTTTTAGATGCTTCCGGAAGAGATATAATGTCTATGCAAGAAGCAGGAAAAGATAGCATGCCATTCCAAGATGCATTGCTTGAGGCCCATTAAGGGACTGCTTTTCCTCTTTATTTCTTGGCTGAGACTGAATATTCATGAAAAGAATGTTAGAGCTTTGGAAATGAAATAGTTTTGCCACTTATTTTTTTCCCCCCACAAAAGAAGAAATAGATTACCAAACAAAGAAAGCGATTTTCCCTTGGTCACATAGCAAAGTAGGAGCAGAGCTGGGGTTACAGCTCTGAACTCCTAATTACTATGCATTGAACCTTACAAAGACCATGTGCCAGAGGAACCAGAAATATGAGTGCCAAGGTAGGCCATGAGACTATGTCAGCTACTTGGCCCTGTAGCCATTTTCTTGCCTGATATAATGTCTTGTGGTTTGCTCATGTCATATCATCTCTGAAAATATCAAAAGCCTTAGGCCTGGATATGAGGGCCACTAGAAGGATTGGAGAACCTCAATCAGGCATCAACTAAGTTATCCTTCAATGGCCAGCTCAAATATCACCTCCTCCAGGAAGACTTCTCCAGCCACTCCACCCAGAAATGATTACACCTTCTTCTGTGACTCCAAAGGACTCTTATTTTTGCATCATCGTGATACCTTTCCAAGCCTTATATATGAACAAGGTGGTCAAGTCTAATCTTGTCCTCCCAACTGAACATGGAATCCCTGGAGTCAGGAGCTACTATAGTCCTTGTATATTCTCTCCCCTTTCTTTTGTCCTATTTTTTCCACTTATTTGGGTATCAGTAAGTGATTATTGACTTGACGGACTAACTAACTTCAATTCTTTTGCGAATCCTCTGGCAGCAGAATTTCTGAAAGAGGAAATGAATTTTCCTAGGTTGCCTGGCAAAAAAACGATAACACCAGCCCTGCCCAGTGTTGCTCAGTGGTTAGAGCTTCAGCCCATGCACCAAAGGGTCTCAGATTTGATACCTGGTTACGAACCTGGGTTGCAGGTTTGATCCCTAGCCCCAGTCAGGGTGCATGCAGGAGGCAACCAATCGATGTGTCTCTCTCACATCAANATTTCTCTCTTTCTCTGTCTCTCTTTCTTTCTCTCTCTTCCTCCTTCCCTTCCACTCTTTCTAAAAAAAAAAAANCTCTCTTTCTCTGTCTCTCTTTCTCTCTCTTCCTCCTTCCCTTCCACTCTTTCTAAAAAAAAAAAACAAT